AGTGCAGTTGTGGTGTTGAGTGGTGCAAGGTGGTGCAGCAGGGAATCTTCCTCTCTCCTGAGAGGGGGCAGCAGCAGAACAGATGGCAGCAGTAGCAGCAACAGGAGCAGCAGCAGCGGTAGCAGCCATCCAGTTCAGCCACTCAGGCTTCAGATGAAAGTGGAGGTGAAGGCAGGGGGTGGCCTGCTAAGCAGCTGGGACAGGCAAGGCACCTTTAGGCTGTGGCAGTGATGGTGGAGGAGGGGTCCACAGGCAGTGTAGGACCACCCCCATGGGGGGGCAGCAGTCCAAAGCAGGAAGGGGTGCAGCTAAATTGCCCCTAAAAGCTCTGAGAACAAGCCAGCAGCTAGCAGTAGGCAAAAGCAGGAAGGGGCCTGGCAATCTTCTCCCCAGAAGCTCCTGAGACCAAGCTTGCAGCAACCAGCAGCAGCAGCTTGGGACAAGAAGGGGCGTAGCCAACTTCCTCCCAGAGGCTCCTCCCCCAGAAGCTCCCGAGAGTGAGTAGCCCTGAGCTTCTTGCCAGGGCAGCTTTTTATACTACTGGGGCCAGCACAGGTGCTTGCCCCAGACTCTAGCTCTCACTGGCTGCAGATCAGGAAGGAGCTGAGCAAGGTCATTTTGCCCCAAGTGGCACAACTTGCCCCACACCAAAGTGCATGTTCGGGCAAATGCACTGAGGCAAAAATCTCCAGCACAAATGTGTGCCACTCCTATTTGAACTGCTGTAAGAACACATGCCTGCATGTGTGGATGCGCTCAATGAAAACAAAAGGTCAAGGACTGTTGTATCATGCCTCAAATATATTCTCACTTACAGTTTCTTCTATCTTCAGCTAAGCAAACTGCCCCATATAAATATAAATGAGAAAGCAAGTAGTAGGATATTACTCCATCTTCTATAGACCCTGAAACAGTTGGTCCCTGTCTTATACCCAAATTTTCCTAAATTTTCTTTTGAAGAATATTTTGTTGGTGAGGGACTGATAAAAAGTGAATACTTTTAGTTTTTAAAAACTAGCATTTTTTAAAAATTTTTGGCTTGAGATTATCTAGGGATTGATTAAAAACTTGAACATTTTTACAAGTTTTGCTTCATTAGAAAGTAATATTTTAATCAAAATTATTCTGACCAGAAAAAAAAATCAACTAGCTGTGCTCTCAATTGCCTGTCTCCTAACATTCATACTATCCGTGTCCTCCTGTGCAAAGCATCCATCTTCACTTCTTTAAACTACTTGAAATATTTTCAATGGATATCTGCTTCTGAACACCATGCTTATTGCCCTATTTGTGTAATGGTCTCTTATAAAAATTATAATTCTTAGAACAGAAACCAATAAGAATAAAAATCCCATCTACATTTATAACATTATGACTTGGGTTTTCAAAGTGTAAGAGTGAAGCACCTAAATGCTACAACTAACACTGTAATTGACACTATTTGATACAAAAATGCCATCATTGTTCAAAAATCAGTTCAATATTCCCAAATATCTTACTTCTTAAGTTTTCTAAATCTAATAATAGAACATGCTAGAAGATAAAGTTTTAATACTTGCAAAACTATTGCTTTCTTGATCAATTGGGAAAAAGAGCTTTATGATGATGCTAAATCAGCATTTTAAATAATATAGTTTAATAGATTTCATACAGTATAAATTAACCAGTGGCACACAGGTAGACTGTTGTTCTCATTTACAAGTAAGCTGTCCAGAGCAAAAGTTATGGGTCCAAGCCTTCTGATACACAGTGAGGGAGCAATGAGTGTCTTATAAATATCTATACAACAGATATGTGGTCTTACCAAATGGAGATCTATCTATTACAGACTACAACTGAGCCCTACCTAAAATGTTCCACATTCATGCTGTATTCTAGATTCATGGAATATTTTGGAAAACACCAGAGGCAATCTCCTTTGATCTCCTTTGATCATGAACTGAACACAATTAAAGCCAACTGGGATTTTCTTCTACTGATGACTACAGCGCTTAGCCCTCTATAATTTGTACAAGAATTAAAGAATAAATTGTAAAAGTTGAGATAATCTAAATATGCTGCCTCATAATAAAAGAACTTTCTCAACTCTCAAGACATGTTACAAAGATTCAAAGCAAAAATCTCTTACCTGTTCTGTATTGAGGAACTTTAGTGGACTGGCGACATGAAGATCTCTTTCCTCTGTCCGTTGTCCATATGTAGGACGCAGCTTGGAAGGGGGAAAAAAAGGCTTTAAACAAAAATGTGAATATGTGTGACAGAATGGAGAACAGATTATATTTTCCACTGTCCAGCTTTCTAGAATTTAACAGACTATTCATCTAAGTCAGTCTGCGTGGGTCTAAAAGAATTTTGGATACAAAGAGTCATTGTTAAAGTACACAACATGTTTCACAATAAAGATAAAATTATTGCTTGCATATTTAATAACTGTAGTAGAGAGGAGAGAGTAGCAACATATAATTTCCATGTTGTCTTTGACTGAACTAATCAAAATAATTAAAAAATTATTGGTTTTAGATTTTTTTCTATGTGACTGGATTCTTAAGTTAGTTACCACACATGCCAAATTTAAGTGTACAAGGACCATTTTTGGTATGGATTTGCTTACGTACAAGAACACTAACACTTGTTCTACTGGTGTTATTGTAATAAATTATTTTTAATCAGAATGGCTGTGTTAGGAGTTTTCATATTTGTTTTTTTCAACCTTCACTTTGTCTTTTTGGAAAAATATATATTTTCTGCTTTTCCAGTGAGCATAAGCAGCTACTAAACGTGGTCATGCTCCATTCTTCAAATGTTTTAGTGTGTGGGAGAAAGAATGGAAATAGATTTTCAAGGACATTGTGCATTTTGTACTGAGAACAAACCAACAAGTAATGGAAGTTTTTGTAGCTGAGGACTGGACAGCAGAAAAAAATAATTCTATTCCTACTTCTGAATCAGACTTCTTGTAGGGCTTTGGGCAAGTCTCTGTAACCTTGTCCTAACCAAAATAGTTTGACAATACATGAATAATTTCAATTCCTTGGTGTGTCTGTAATCCACAGTGTATCAATACAATAGCATAACTAGGGGGAGCTAAGCAGGAACCAGGCATAGACATTGTTTTAGAGGGGGCACCAGAATTGCCCCCTGCACCCCAGGAGTCTTTCATAGATTTCATTGACATTAGGGCTGAAAAGGACCTTGGAAGATCATAGAGTCCAGCCCCCTGCCCCAGGGGCAGGAAGTCAGCTAGGGTCAAAGGATCCCATCCAGATGTCCAAATGTTTCTTAAAAGAGTCCAGAGTAGGTGCTTGCACCACCTCTGGAGGCAGTTTATTCCAGGCCTTGGGGGCTCAGACAGTAAAGACGTTTTTCTTTATGTCCAGCCTGAAACGGTCTTGGAGGAGTTTGTGACTGTTTGACCTTATCATTCCTTGGGGCGCTCTGGTGAACAGGCATTCCACCGCATCCTGATTACACCCCTTATATATCTGTAAGCAGCCACCAGGTCCCCCCTGAGCCTGAGGTTTTCCAGGGTGAAGAGCCCCATGGCTCTAAGCCTCTCATCATAGGGCCTGTTCTCCTGCCCTCTGATCATACATGTGGCTCTCCTCTGGACTCTCTCAAGCTTTTCCACATCCTTTTTAAATTGTGGAGCCCAGAATTAGATACAGTACTCCAGCTGAGGCCTCACCAAGGCTGAGTACAGTGGGAGGATGATATCCAAGGATTTGCTTGAGAAGCATCTATGGATGCAAGCCAGAGTTTTGCTCACTTTACCAGATAGCTTATATTCATCTTGTGATCAGTCATGACCCCCAAGTCCCTTTCATCTGTGGTGCTAGCAAGTGTAGCACTGCCGAGTCTATAAGCATGCTGTGGGGTTTTTTACCCCCAAGGTGGAGTACCTTGCATTTTTCGGCATTGAATGCCATCAGGTTTTCATCCACTCATTTTCTAAGACTGTCGAGGTTGGCCTGGATCACCAGCCTATCCTCATGTGTAGATGCTTTACCGCAAAGTTTGGTGTCATCAGCAAACTTGGCCAGTCCACTTCTGACACCAATGTCTAAATTGTTAATAAAGATATTAAAGAGTATAGGCCCAAAGATAGAGCCTTGGGGGAACCCCACTGGTCATGGCACACCATGATGATTTACTTCCATCTATCATCACTCTCTGGGTCTGACCACAGATTTTAACCCAGAGTTAAAATGGCAGGAGTTGTCCTGCACTGCCCAAGCATAGGAGACAGACAGGCATGGCCCCTCACACAGTAGTGTATCTAGACAAGATACGTCTCCCTGGTCAGACTTTGCCAGGGAAGTCATGGTCCTATGTCCCATTGAGTATATGGATGGGGAGAGAGAGCAAGCAGGGCACCTGGGCACAACCAGCATAAAGCAACCCTACCATGCAGCAGAAGCAGCTGCAGGGCATGCTGTTACAGCAACAACCATGGGTGACTGGTACCGCCTTAGTCGGGGGGGGCAGACTGGAAGAGAGTCCCCCCGTGTCTGATCCTGCGATGGCTGATCACTGCAGCCAATCACAGCAGCCACTTCCGGCAGTGGCTGTGGCCACTTATAGGAGCAGCTGCAGTGATCAACCGGCACTTGCCGGGGGGGCACCTGCACTCCCATCTGCCCCCCCTGCCCATCACCTAAGCAGCAAGCATTGCTGGTCAGGGGGTGCACTGTCACTCTCAGAGTGTGCATGTGCACCCCCATGCACCCCCTACGTCTTGCCACTGTCAACAGCCACAACAGTAGCAACTGCAGCTTGAGTACAGAGACCAGGGACAGGTAAGACTCCTTTCCTCAACAACCCCCACTCTACAGTGGAAATATTCTATTTCCCACACCTGCCCCAATGCTCAAGGAGCTCACTACCTTGCTGCACCCACAGACAAAAGTGCTTGCTAAGGTATGCAAGCACTGATATTATTGAAATGACTGTGTTTGCACTAAAGAAGATGCCTTGTCATTTAGCCCTGTGCCTTTGTAATGTTAGTAGAGTAAAGTACCCCCAATGCAGGCCCAAAACAATTCCAGAGTCTTCTTGAACACAATTCTCCCTGCATTCCTGTACAAATTACACAGTATTTATTTAGCTAAAATTCCCATTTGAGCACACAGTTCAGTTTTCCAGTTAGAACTATCCAGTTAATGAGCAGTACACAAATGCAACTGTCTTTTTCCCTCTGCCATGGAATATCCCTGTCATGATTGATCTCAGTAGTCAATATTTATCTCAATAGTCAAAGATTTCCTCCTCTGGCCTCTTCTAACTGGCTGGCCTTCTAGTCCCATGTCGGCTGGTTTGGCAGCTGGCAAATTCACCTGCCGTTTCTTCCTGTATTCCACACTGTCCTTGCTAACCTCTTTGTCCTATCCTTCACCTATTTCTTTTCTCCTTCAACATTGTATTCCCATCCACAAATCTTTCCTCTTTTACAAGCTTTACATGTGACACAAGCTAGATTCTGCAGCACTTGAAATAAATCTGTAGAATGTGGCCTGCCTGCTGAAAGAAAGTCTGCCAAAGGATAATATATTAAGGTTTGGTTTGATTTCTCTATATGTTCCCAATGTCACACCTTTATCACAGATATTTGCAGACATGAGAACAAAGTATAAAAGGCTTTGCCAAGAGGTGTAACTAGCATTCTGAATGCCCTGGGCAGGAGAGCAGGGAATGGGTAGAAGGGGTATGCCTAGCTACTGTTGCTTTGGTTCATGCTTCCCACCCCCCTGCTGCTGTCATGCAGGCTCACCAGGGGCCAGCACTCCCTCTAAATCAGCAATGGAGCCAGTGCCCCGTTCATCCTGCTCTACTTATACTTTGAAGTTAAAAAATTATTTAAAAAACTGAATTGGTATGCCATTTGCTTGTGTAACTTGATACTGTCTATTATCCTATAGCAGGCTTCCTTCTATTTTAAACAACATACCAGGTATTCTAAGACCTTTACAAAAGAAGCAGAAAAAGAAGTTATAGAACTCAGAATGTCATGCATAGTTACCTCCAGTTACACAATGTTCTTGTCCTGCTTTGAAAAGCAGCTGTGTATATGGAGTCAATTATCACCTGTTTATACTTCACAGTTAAATGAGTCTGATCGTTATTTTCCTAAATGGATCAAAGCCAAATGGGTGTTATTTTGTTCAAAGAATCAAAATTCCTTTAAATATTTTAGACTTTGGGCTGGCAGCATCTGTAAATAATATTGTCCACACATTTAATTAATATAAACTAATCAAAACAATTATAGCATTTGAAAAGTAGCTTGATCCCCCCCCTTTGATATGAACAGCAGTTTATCATGATCACTGGTTCCATATCCAGATTTGTTGCTTATTTTTTTAGTTTAAATATACAAGAAATACTTTAAAGAAAGTGATATTGAAATATTAACACAAAAATGCAGATCCAGCATTTACTTCTTATGTATCTGAGCTTTGATTTGACAGCTCTAAAATGAGTAAGGAATGGGAATTATGGGCAGCTATATCTGGTAGCTGCAGATAAGAAAAACAATTCAGGTAATTTCTTGTCAGAACTACCACTCCAGGGGATTTTTATAAACAGTGGAATCAATTTTAAAAAACAAAATGAAAAAAAAATAAAACCTTTCAAACCCCCAATTTCCCACAATATATAGAAAATCATCTTGTGTTATTACAAGGTGTTTCTAACATTAGCCATTCCCATCTATTCTATTCAGGTTCTTCTACTATATCCCCATTGCTATAGTATTTGAGAGCCTTCCAGCAGCCCATTAAATAATGTGACTAACATATTTCACATGTGGCTAGGGGAATCATACCTGGAGAGTAATGTTTTAATTTGGCTGGGTTTGAACTGGGTTTTTTTGTTTTTTGGATTTTTGCTTTGAAGTTGCAAATCTAGTGTTTTGGGCTGTCTTTTCTTCACAAATTCTCAAATGAATACACCTGTATTTGGAGCAAAAGATGGCGAAGTTGTTGCAATCCTTAAATTCTATGATCATATCAGAGATGGTTGGGGTTTTTTTACATTAGCTATGAACAGCGCTACTCTAATATAATAAAAGCCATAGTCTGTGTGTCTGTCTGTCCGTGACACCCTAGGCCAACTGAGCATACGCTGCCAAATGGGCAGGCGCTGATTGGCTAGGTGGCCCAGGCTGCCTGGGCCCAAGTTTGAGCTGCTGATGGGGAAGTTTGGTAGTGGGGA